ATTGAGTCCGAGATTTTTATTAGTATATATTCGAGTATTTTTCGAGTTAAAACAATTCAGTTTAAGTATACCAGTTTAATTCCGAACTTAGTTTGATTTTTAGAAAAATCTTAGAGTATTCCTTTATATCCTGCGAAAATTTTTTAGAGCGTCCACAAAAGCCCTTTGAGCGCCCTTCCGATGTCGGAGTGAGGGTGGTAATCCGCGGGATGGCCAGAGTGGGGGTTGTGCGCAGTGACAAATTGGGCCCTCCCCGAGATGACCGGCTGGTTTTGCCACTGTCCCCAAGTATATTCTTTTGTCCACCCTCGACCATCTCTTACCCCGTCGCCAACCACCACCAAACGGATCGCGACCCTATAACATTTAAGTTCCATAAATAACATTTTAATTGTTTAAACTAAAATTTATATATGCTTCTCTTAACATCAGGTTGTACAATCACGTAGTAGTTATCATAAAGAGAGGGAAGGGAAAGAACAAAAGAAAACGTGAAGACCATTTCGTAATCTAGACTTTTATGGTCGTTGCCCTGTGCTATTAATATGGGTCTCTAGTTATCACCGCACAAAATATATGGACTACAGCTAATTAAGAGCTTGAAATAAGTCCCTATCTTTTGTTTAATTAACTGAACAACCAAAATAAATAAATAGTGAAACTAAAAAACATTACAAATAGGTTACCAACTTATTTGAAAGCGCGATCAAATAAACTTTTAGATGAAAAATATGTATTTAGATAAATATTAATGTTTGGTGTTAAATTAACAACGAACTTATAAATAAGTTGTTTCTCCTAAAAGTTTGTTTTGTAGAAATAAAAAATGAAGATTTTCGAGAAGTCTATTTTGAATAAGTATATACATTTTTAAATGAATTTTACAAAATTGTTCCAAACAAGCACTACAAGTATATACATATTTAAATGAATTTTACAAAAGTGTTCCAAACAAACACTACACCCTCGTTGAAATTATTTTAATATTACATTTATACATTCAAATTATATTGCATACAATCAAAGTTTAAGAAGAAAAAAATAAATTAAAACGGCAAGTCAATGATTTGATCCAATAGTGAACAAGGCAACACATAGCAAGTTTTAGAAATATTAAATAAATTGACCAAGAGGCGTAAAGTGTTGATATAATGGCTGAGCAATTTAGTGTGGAGTGGACATGTTTGGGCAAATCATGCCTTCGTGCACGTGCAATGAAATAATGTGACGCAATATTGTTTAGGAAAATGCTACAATCTTGTTATGGAACTATTTCGTCTAACGAGACAATCAGATTTCTCGTTTGTTTCCATTAAAACAGTATAATCAACTCAACTAATTCATTCTTTTTAATTGTTACATGCACTCCAATAATCAAGCACGGTGGTTACTTATAGAAAAGGTACAGCAAATCAAATTCATTCAAAAATAAAAAAAGCATACAAGGTATACGAAAAAGGACACATTAAATAGCAGTTGATGGCAATCTTTTACAACCCGGACCGGACAGCTGACCCGGAACGAGAACTGGTCCGAGTAGGCTATTTAAACCGAGCAACAATGAACCCGGTTAAATTCGGTGAAAACCCGGCCAACCTAGCCTTGACCCGGTTGACCCGTGCCATTGACTCAGTCAGGTCAACCCGGTTGACCCTGTCCTTATATATTTTTTATTGTTTAAAAATTTTTTTATATAAAAAAATAAAAACTATGTAAATATATTGATATAGTAAATATTTATTGTGAGATATATATCTTTTAACACTTTGATGTACAAATTCTATATGCAAAAACTTATTTTGTTACTTTTATATAATTTAAAAAATTTTAAAATTAATTACCCGGTTCAGTAATTGACTTAGTGACCCGACGGTTGAATCGGTGACCCGGAGACCTGCTCGAATCGATTTCAGGGCCAGGTTTAAAAACTGGACGCTCGTAGAAAAGTTTTTTACTTTTGGTCTTGGTGGCCTAATATTTTTCTTGATCTTGTGCATATTTCGAATTTTGTTTTTAATTTATAAAGCAATTTAGTTTTTTTTTTTATTTAATTAGTCTTTCTTTGGATCTTTTATTATTTTATTGATATTTTTCGTTTAATTATGTTTCCTTTTCCCCCTCTGACTTCTTCTTATGTGTGGGATAATTTAGTATAAGGTAATTAAAAAATACCATGATTATATATTTATTACAACGTTATAAATGGACCAAAAATAAAAAAATGTCATCTTGTTGACAATATTTGATATGGTCCCAAGTTGATGGGCCAAATGATAAAAGCTTGTCAACTTCTTGCCAAACTTTGTTGTGCTCCCAAATTAATTGGCCGGAAAAAAGCAATCGAGCCAAATTTTGTCATTTTCGTCCTTGAATAATCTTGATCTTTGAGGAGGAAGGTTAACTTTGTGCTACATGATGAGTCGGGCGCCGATCAAATGCCTGAAAACTCCCCGAGACCACATAAACTCTGCATACACTCAACTCATGCCTCAACTGCAAGATTGCAGAACACATGTCAATACATCATTTATAAATAACTATGGATGACTCTACAAGCCGAGCCATCTGATGGCTCCATGACAAAATCGATATTTCTATAATTAATAAGAGAGAGAGAGAGAGAGAGAGAGAGAGAGATTGGTGCATGTACCATTGGAATAGAAGTGTGCAAATCTTGTTTAATGGCTCTATACTCATTCATTTTCCACTTGGTTTTTCGTCCATTGGGAGCTTTTCCGTTGTAAAAGACCATACTTTTCTTAACCCCGATAACCTTGCTATGATTACTACTGCTTGACGAGTAGACGTAAGTGGGTGAGCCGGTGGCCTTCCAATAGCCAGAGGCCGTGGTCCGGCTAGGCCTCCCTCCTCGGACTTCCTTTTCTTGCCTCGCCACAAAAAAGAACCACTGCTCTGTGTCCCCATGGCAAAGCTCCCCACAATAATCTGCATTAGATAACTTATTTGTTTCATCACAAAATGGCGAAAACCGGTCAATTATAATTAGTAAAAATGAATGCACGACCGAAAAAGTCTTATGATAATAGTATTTATTCATGAATAAAAACAAACGCTGTTGTTAGACTGCATAACCTTTGTCTTGGAGAAATTTATTAGCGTAAATATGTAACAATGATAAAAAAAAATTGAAGTTGGATAAAACGCGCGACAATGTAAAAAGTACAATGTTAGGGAAATAAATAATCGAGAATCGAAAGATGGCGGTGAAGGTACTTGGAAGGTGGGTGGGGTCGTGCTGATAAATATCGAGGGTCGGGATAACACGGTTCATGTCGTCGCCTATTTTTCCGTCGAGCTTGTTGTGTAGATAGAAGGAAATAAGCTCTTCTTCAGTAGGGTAAAAGCGAAACCCTGGTGGCATTTCATCCATTTTTTCTACTTTTTTTTCTTGTTTTTTTTTTTTTTTTTTTT